ATTTTTTCGGTTTCAGTTCGGTTCGGTTTTCGATTTTTTGAACCCACCCTTGGGTTCATTCTTGGTTGATCGTACATACCTTCTTTGGTTTCCATCAGAAAGCTTTTACTTTTCTTCGTCTGTTACTGTCCGAATCCATTTTTTTTAGTTTTCAAGGGTTACCTACCGAAAGCTCTTTGGTCCATTCTTCCTTGTGCATCTTCCTTGTGCATTTGGTGGTTACTTCCCGAATCCTTCTGTTATGTTCGCTAGTTATCGTCTGAATATATCGGTTATTTCCGGCGGTTTACGAACCGAAGTGATCTCTCTTGTTCTTTAGATCCTCGTTCACCGAACGTGTCGTGAGTTTGATGAAAATGGGTTATTAGAATGCCATTGCCATTGAACAATCAATGTACTAATATAAATGATCGATTAGGCATATTTTATTACCTTGTTCTCGATCAAACTCCTATATGCAGTAGGATTCTCTCTTCTTCTATTCTCATCATCTTCTCTCCCCTCCTCTCACACTTTGCTTTTAGTTTTATTGTCTCTATAAAAATTCAATATAAGATGTTGACGTGGCTTAATCGTAACCGTTCAAGTATAAGGGGAGGGAATGGGAAAGAGATTAGGAGGGGAGAGAATCATCCTCCCTCTTATATATCTAACCCCACCAAACCAAAATATAAAATCCAAAATCCAAAACTGAATTTCATTTAATCAGTTGTTGTCGACCTAATTTGTGTGTATTCAGCAAAACCATGCAGATTGGTTGTCTATATTAACTACATTGTAAAAGATGAAGAATTGGTACAAAGGAAGATGAAAATGATACAGAGAAAAACCAGAAAGATTGTATTGATTAAAATTGAGAAAATGTATACAAAAGAACTTAAAGAAATGATAGCTATACCATCTCTTATATAGCCATATATCCCAATTACAATAATACCCTTCTAACTATATTAACAAACTTAACCACTAGAATAATGTCATGTGACATTTCTGTTATATCAGTTATTAGTCTATTGTATATACGAAGAAATGTGTGTTTTCAGCAAAATGTGTATTGTACGAATAAATTGATTTAGAGTTAATTATACACCATTTCATGTCCGTTAATCCATGAACTACTTTTGTTTCATTCATTTACTCAGCCATGTGACCTGATTATATTTTTTATCATCCTATCACCCTACAAACAACTCTAATCCTTAATTTAGGTCGACATCATCTTAAACATGAATTGATAATGACAAAGGAAATAGGTCATTGAAAACACTCCACATGCGAAACTCCACCTCTCAATGTATCTGCAACAATATTTTATCTGAAGGCGTCTTGGTTCCAGAACATCCAGATGAACACGGTAGTAGTTTAGTAAATGACTGAGTTGGTGATAAAACTTAGTATGGTTTAGTTTGTTATAGTTGTAATGTGAGTGGTTAATTTGTAGAATGTATGGTCATTACATGTGTAATGGGTTGTATATAGGTAATAATTTCAAGATCTCATTATCAATTACCTGTTGTGAATAATCCCAGATAGATTTCTTTTCTTTTTTATGAAAAAGAAGACTTCCAATATTTCATTCATTAAAAAACGGCAGTATAAATTCATATTATGAAAAACTAGGCCCCAAAAAGTTCCTTATACAAACCATATTTAAGAATATCGCAATAAGTCACTCAGTACTACGGTCTGGTGGTATTCTTCTTCACTTGTAAGTGAGAGGTCTTAGATTTGAATATCGTGAATGACGAATTCGATACCAAATTAAGTTGCCCATTGTATGGCTTAACTGAACCCCCACTCCTTTTAGTGTAAATATACCGTTGTACTAAAAAAAATATCATAATAAAGAATCACTAATTGCAAAGCATTGAATAAAATTCAAGCACTAGTCCGAGCTCATCGGGAACTGCAATATTACACATATCAATAAATTTATTAAATTCGTGTTACACGGACATCATGGGAGAACAAAAATCTCAAATCATATAATGGGACAGGAAGGACGATGCTCATGGGTTAATTGCATCACTTAATCACCACCACGATTCCAGATTACCAAAATATATCCCAGATAGATTTCTTGTTCATGAAATCTTCGCAAGAAATAAAAGTCACTAGATACGTTGCCTAATTATGAGATCTGTATCTACACTCAACAAGACAATTAATTAGAAAACCTAATTTTAAGCAAGTAATTACCATATCATTATTTTTGCAAGGTAAGTAATCCTAAATTATTTACTATAGATAAAGGCACATGTGATTGGAAACTTGAATATCATAGAAATTCCTTAACCCTCTACTTTCTCTCTTTGCCCCACTCTCTCTCTCCCTTCAATAAAATAGGTTACAACACAAATAAATTCATTGTTACTTAGGATGGTGATGGTAAGCATCATCGCCACTTTAAGGTGGTGAGCAAAAATACAATCGTATCTAAGGCTTCGTTTGGCAGCTCGGATTGTACTGGCTATTTCTGTCGAATATGATAAATAGTCATCGGATAGTACTGACAAATAGTCAAGCGTTTGATGCAGTATCGAACTAAGGACCGTATTAATTATAGTGTGTTTGGTACTGAACTGGATAAGAACAAAGAAGAGGGATTCTATCGAGCTTCTACTGAGATGGGCATGGCCGCATGTCCGAGATGCTCCCACAGAGAAGAGGGATTCTGAGCATCCGCAGATGCTGCTAATTTGCTAAGAGTCATTGCATGTACAATAAAAAGAAATGGATCTTAAGGGCTTCAAGTTTATAATAAGAGGGGATTAAAAGAACCCAGAAAATGGTATTGAGAAATAAAGGTCAAGGAGATGAAGCAAGTCAATAAGGTCGAGGAAGACGGAGCCCAAAGCCCGTGCCATCGAAAATCAAGGTCCAGGATGACGGATGCACGATCAATGACCTTGTCTAATTTGGGTCAGAGGTGAATCAGACATCGCAGCTTATGGATTCTCTGATTGAGACTCAAATTTGAGGTCTTGTTAGTTTGTGATTCAAGGTTCAGGGCAATGAGGAAGGGAAAGGATGTGAGAGAAGATGGAGCAGGGAGCGAAGCGAGGAGGACAAAGCAAGTTCTTAGGTAGTCCCGTTGTATGCGGGGGGCCTCGTCTTGAGAGAGCAAAGCAGAGAGAGCATCTGGAGAGGACCATGTGTCTGGAGAGGAATGAGAGAGCGTCTGGAGCGGAAGAAGAGAACCCGACTAAATTGTACCATGGTTTTGGATGGTATAAGCAAGCGGGTGTATACCTGATAAAGTTCCCGAATTATTTAATCCGGTGGCTATTTAATACAAATGGACACCAAACACCGTATTCTGTATTATTAGTACTATCCGGTGTCTTATACGGTGTGCCAAACGAGGCCTAATAGACTTATATAAAGAAGAGTATAATTGTTAAACCATCCACGTCTTTCTTTTTCATAATTACAAATATCAAAACAAAAGAAACAATATCATTTCGAAATCTTCAAAAGAAATAAAATTCACTAGGTATGTTACCGATAGAGTATTTTTGGTAAACCATACACATATTTCCTTTTTAGTCATTAAAAATTTCCAAACAAAAGAAACAATATCATTTTGAAATCTTCAAAAGAAACAAAATTCACTAGATACGTTGTCCAATTATGAGAGAGTATTTTTGGTAAACCATACACATATTATCACATCCCGACCCGGGCCCCCACCACATCCCGGGTTCGACTCCATCGTAGCACGATATTGTCCGCTTTGGGCCCCGACCACGCCCTCACGGTTTTGTTTCTGGGAACTCACACGAGAACTTCCCTGTGGGTCACCCATCCTGGGAATGCTCTTGCCCAAACTCGCTTAACTTCGAAGTTCCGATGGAACGCGAAGCCAATGAGCTCCCAAAAAGCCTCGTGCCAGGTAGAGATGAGAATATACATATAAGGCTTACAGGATCCACTCTCTTGGACGATGTGGGATCTTACAATCCACCCCTCTTAGGGGTCCGACGTCCTCATCAGCACACTTCCGGCCAGGGATTGGCTATGATACCAAATTGTCACATCTCGGCCCAAGCCCCCACCACATCTCGGGCTCGACTCCACCGTAGCATGATATTGTTCGCTTTAAGTCCCGACCACGCCCTCACAATTTTGTTTCTGAGAACTCACACGAGAACTTCCCAATGGGTCACCCATCATGAGATTGCTCTCACGCGAACTTGCTTAACTTCGGAGTTTTGATGAAACTCGAAGACAGTGAGCTCCCAAAAGGTCCCGTGCTAGGTAGAGATGGAAATATACATATAAGGCTTACAGGATCCACTCCCCTGGACGATGTGGGATCTTACAATAATTGTCACATCCCAGCCCAGGTCCCCACCATATCCCGGGTTCGACTCCACCATAGCATGATATTGTTCGCTTTGGGCCCCGACCATGCCCTCACAATTTTGTTTTTGGGAACTCACACAAGAATTTCCTAGTGGGTCACCTATCATGAGATTGTTCTCGTGCGAACTCACTTAACTTCGGAGTTCCGATGGAATCCGAAGCCAGTGAGCTCCCAAAATGCCTCGTGCTAGGTAGAGATGAGAATATACATATAAGACTTACATGATCCACTTCCCTGGGCGATGTGAGATCTTACACATATTTCCTTTTTAGTCATTAAAAATCTCCAAACAAAAGAAACTATATCGTTTTGAAATCTTCGAAAGAAATAAAAGTCATTAGATACATTGTGTATTCTATACACAAACAAGGAAATTAATTAGAGAACTTGATTTTACGCAAGTAGGTACTATATCATTATTATTTGAAATTGATTTTCGTTTTTTAATCAGTTTTTGCTCACCCTCTTTACTATGGAGTAGCGTTTCTATTCCTTTTTTTTTTTAATAACAAAAAACAGCCTCATTTTTTGTTGCCTCCAATTTAATTGTTATTCATATAAAAGTAGTTTGCATTCCAAGTTAATGTGGCGTCTCTTTCTTTCATTTTTTTTCTTTCTTCTTGAGACAAACATGAAACTAACACTGAGCATGTATCGCCCTCATTGCCTCCTCCTAATCCTAACCACCTTGTTTTATCTTTCAATTGCTGCCACCGCGTATGGAGTAGGAGGAGGAAGAGAAGAGCACCATTACCCTCCCGGGTACCAACCTCTGAGGGGTGGGTATTACCCCATTGAAAACTTAAACAACCCACATTTGAGGGAAATTATGGATTTCGCCGTCTCCGAGTACAACAAGATTCATGACAAAAAACTGGTGTTCCAAAAGTTGGTTCGGGGAGAGTCTCAAATAATAGCGGGAATATGCTACAAGCTTTTCATTGAGGTTGTGGATTCTTCTTGAGTCAATAAAGGCCCCATCAACTATGAGATCATTGTGTTCGAGGATCTTTCGAGGACTACTAAATTGGAGTCCTTTGTTCCAGTCTAAAATTAATGAATATTTTATTTTAGTTGGGTCTGGGGAAGCTTTATTTTCCAACTTACTGGAGTTGGTTGTAGGCTTGTAGCAAACCACAATCTGATCCTCAAAATAAATTCAGTCCACCCTATTGTAAGGTTGGAGTTCACAAAACCCAAGGCATGCTATACAACTTTATACAGTAACGTTTAAAAGTGGCTCAATTTTAATATTAAATGTCTTGAATTTATTCAGGTTTTTGCTTCATTCCTGTAATATTTTTGTGCTTGCGGTTTCATTTTGTTACTACATTATTTACGATATTTCATTCATTGAAGAATTGACATTTCAAAGACATATTTATGAAGAATATGTAAGTCGTTCTCTTTTATTGACATAGTGCGACCAACATAAACATTTCCTTATGATCCAGTGAATTTTATGGGATCGAAAAAGAAATGAGTTCCCTACATTGTGGTTTGTAGAGGAGAAAAAAATGTGTGTGGTTAGCTGGTCATATCAACTAAACGTTATTATATTAATCTTATTTGATATAAAATGCCTAGCATTACTTGAGAAAAAATTTTGCTTTTGAAACGAAAGAATGCAAGAACTGATATCAACTAAACGTTATTATATCAATCCTATTTGATATAAAATGCCTAGCATTACTTGAATTTTTTTTTTTTTTGCTTTTGAAACGAAAGAATGCAAGAACTGATATCAACTAAACGTTATTATATTAATCTTATTTGATATAAAATGCCTTGCATTACTTGAGAAATTTTTTTGCTTTTGAAACGAAAGAATGCAAGAACTGATATTAGTTCGATTAGTGCATAGGTGTAGAGCTTTGACTCTTAATTTATAGAACCATTTATTTTGGTAGTTCTTTAAAAAACCATTTTATAAAAGCATTTAGAGGCACAATTCGTGATTTTGAAGTTCTTAAGTGGTTACTAGTCTATATTCTACACCTAATAAAGTCATGTGTTTTAATCTTTCCTCTCAACCATTTAAAGGTGACGAACTTCAATATTCTACTTGTTGCAAATAGAATTAGTTTAGAAATGTGATTGTATGCATTGGATGTGGAAATTTTAAAATTTCAAAATGATCTTATTTTTGTACAATAAATGGTTCTATGTAATGCGATCATTCGAAATTTAATAATAGCTTGTATGAGTGCGGCTTATCGCAATACAGAAGCGTTTATTTGACATAGCTACCTAACCCAATATTAGTGTATGATGATTATTTGAGAAAATGAGACATAGAAAAAAAAAACACGAGTGTGAACAGCTACAACATTTCTTGGTTAATTGGTGCTGTTATTGCTTTAATTTAAAAACAATATGGCAATTGCGACAACCCCTCCCCTATTTGCATGTGAACACTCTCTAGATGTCAAAAGAAACCGAGTGTAGCAAGAGCTCAGTTGTTCCGCAATTAGACACACTTTTATTCTACATTCTAGGATAAGGTAGACCTTTGAATCTTAAAACAACCATATTATTATGGTAGGTCTTCAAAAGAGCATCTAGATACACAATTAGAGGCAAGGGCTTTGTAATTCAAGTGATTCTTTTATTCTACATTCTAGGATAAGGTAGACCTTTGACTCTTAATTAAAACAACCATATTATTGTGGTAGGTCTTCAAAAAAGCATCTAGATACACAATTAGAGGCAAAGTGTAATTCAAGTGATTAATATCTCTATTATTCATCTGGAGGCCGTGTTTAAGTTTGATGCAAGATAGTATGAATGGATAGAACATAGTAGATATCCGGACTCACTCCAACATTTTGCACCAGACAAAAAGTATTGAAATCACTCCTACAAAATTCTTGCATTACATGAAAACCTAGACCATGAAGGTACTAATGGTAAAAGGAAAGTATATACACCCTACATCTCGTCAATTATATATGAGTGCCTATCAAAGTAGAGATGACAATGGATCAAAACGTTATGGATATACAATTCTCAACCCATCTCCGTTAAGCATTTTATCCCCATCCTCGTCTTCATACTCATTGTTTCAAATTAGGGATTCCCCATCTCCGCCCCCAATGGGGATCTGATTCCTAGCCCCACCCCCATTACAAAATTAGAATTAAGATATTTCTTTCAAGTCCACAAAATAATTGAGATATAGAACAATGCTAGCAAATTCAATTATAAAAATTGTTTTATGATATATCAAGTTTACAAAACATTTTATTTAGGAAATTATTAGTGACACTCCAAAAATATCATTGTGCATTTTTATAAATAGTATTTTTTTTCTTTCTAAATATAAAAAATTCGAAATGTAGAATTAAATTTTCAGAGTGCCAATAACATTTTTTTTTAAATTGAAAAAAAAAGTTAGAACTGAGCCACACTTTCATCTTTTTCAATAACATATAAAGTATAATGTTATTCATCTTTTTCATTGAAGAAGTTGAAGTTTTACCATAAAATCAATTAGATATATGGGGAATAACCCAACTTACTTATAAGTCCATGCAAGGTTCATCCACTCATCAATGTGGGATGCATTCTCAACACGCCCCCTCACGTGTGACAAATTTTCAAGCCTAACATGTACAACACAACAGGGTAATGTGGAGTGTGTGTGGCCGTTTGACATCATATGTAAGACAATATACTCTAATACCATGAAGAAGTTGAGGTTCGACCATAAAACCAATTAGCTATATGAGAAGTAGCCCAACACTTATAAGCCTATGTAAGGCTCCTTTCATCAACGAGATTCGTCGTAAAGATGTACTTAGTTAAGGGTAGTTTTTTAAATGTAGTCCAGGGTGGTTTCTATATAACTCAATGTATCTCTCACTCGTCAATATCATGCAATGAAAAGCCAAATTGAATTCTCTTCTTCCTAGCTTTCCCTCTCATATCTTTCTTCCTCTCTACTTCATTTCTTTCAACTCCTGTGTTAACAGGATAGAAGGTGAAAATATCAGAGAAACCTTTCTGCACAAACCTTCGAACCAAATATCCTCTCCTGTATCTATCTCCTTCTAAAATGAGTTTTAATAATTGGAGAATCCTTTTTGCTACAGTATTTTTTGTACCAATACTGATCTGCGATGCAAGTTCTTTTCAAGCATTTGAAGAGTGGACCGCAGTGCACGGCCGTGTCTACTCCAGCGCTGAAGAACGAGAGCTGCGCCTCGCGATATTCAAAAACAACTTTGAATTTGTGGAGAAATTTAACAAGAATGGGAAAGGTTTTACCGTCGGCCTCAATCATTTTGCCGACTTGACTACTGAAGAGATCACCAACGGGTACTGCTGCAGATTAGTGCAGTCTGATTCGACCACTAACATGACAATCTCAGACAATGTTGTTGCTGTCGGAAACATTGACAACAGTACATGCAGCTGTTGGAGTAAATCAACCTTAAGTGGTCTACTACATGTAATAGGAATGTAATATTGGAGAATAATGTTAATTGTGATTTAATCTCTTAAAGATATTAATTCTATATAAGGTGTCTTATATTGGAAATAGGATTGATGGAATCCTTAAATAATATATGATTATGATATTTTACTTGAGAGCCAAGAAAGGAGAGTTTTAGTTTTCCCTTATGGACGGAATCTAAGACTTTTTGGCTAGTATATAAACACCGGTCCCTGCTAACCCTAGACACGACAACTAAGGCTTCCCATAGAGCATTGTCATAAAGCTAGGAGTTTACAGAAGAGTTGGTGTTTTCTGTTTGTCACGGCAAACATAAAGTATTGGAGTTTTATCGATCACGTCTTGCTTGCATGGCTGTTGCATCTTCGATAACTACCATTGGAATCAGGTCAGTCACTCATTCGTTTGTGTTTTAATTGTATAACCTTATAAGGCTAACAATTGGTATCAGAGCCATTGGTTATATGATTAAAACCTATTAGGGTTTAGGTTGGACTATATAATATTTTTTTATGAGCTGCGTTTTTAATCCATGTTATGATTGCATATACTTGGCAACACCACCATGTTGTTTCAATCGGTACAATTGATGATTGTTAATAGGTTATATAACCATTCGGTTTTAGTCAAGAATTTTAATAATCTTATGGCATGATGAATCTGGGAAACTTTATCAAGAATAGCAGCAAATCGTGGATCAATACTATAATAGTGGCATGCCACATGCGGAGAAGTATATATATAAACCGTGTTGAAGTATAAAATTAAATAATGGCGATGATCCAAATATGGAATAAGCTTCAAATCCCAACAGTTTTTTTTAAACTATACCTATTTTAATTGCAGACAATATGGTTTAGTTGATAGTTTTTTATCAGGCATCTTTATTGCATAAAATATGTTTGGGTCGAACCACCAAAGTCTGGAGATTGCTAATATTTTGATCAAGCAAGAGCATGTAATTTTTATTTGATTAGTCAAATTTGATTACCACCAATAGTTCTGATAAGGGGATGTTAAAGAAAATTGATTAGTTAGTTCATTGGATTAACTATGACTGGAAACCATGGCATATTTCATATTTTCTATTTTAAAGTTGATGTTTTTGGTTGGAATGTTTAACCATGTACTACGGATGTCTTTGTCAATTTTATAAGCATATGCAAATACACATTTACACTGAAAAAAGTGATGCGGCCGCTCAATTTAGCAAGCCGACCTCTGCCAAAGCAGAGCATTGTGTTTCATCGACTCAATTCGGATTTCGGATTTTTGGTGTAACCTTTTCCCTTGGTCTTAATTGCTGATAAGATTTTGTGGTGGATTTAAAAAGGTGATTATTTGGTTCCTGCATAACTTACATATGCCGTGACATCTCCTTATTACTTGGAATATTATGTTTTTGGTTCTTTGTTTTGGTGGCATCAAAGAGTTTTTGTACTAGCATAACCAACTAATTATTCAGAACCCAATTTTGACTGCAACCTAATTCTTAGAATTAAGAAAGAGGTGTAACAGTTCAAATAGTGCTTGACATCTTTCGGAATGTTGGTAACGGAATTGTTCACTTTTAGATGTCTCAATACTATTATTGGTATATGAGTTGTGCCTTTATATATGATTGTGGTAACATATATTGCAGTTGTGTTGCAGGAATGCATATGCTAAGTTTATATATGTCTATATTTGAAAGCAGGTCAATATAAATTTTGGCAATTTTTGTTATTGCATCTATAACATCACGGATATGTTTCAAAGATGTGTAAGGTGACACAATTTCTTCCATGACCGTAGCATATGATAAATTGTAACTAATTTTCTTGAACCAAATTTTAATATTGTTAAGCAAATGGCATGTATAGTGTTGCTTGTATGGCTAATTTGGTTCAAGCATGAGATAACATATTTTTAATATTGCCATGGGTTTTGGACTATAGTGAATTGTAGTGTTGTTTTCACTAATTTTCACTATAGTCCAAAACCCATGGCAATATTAAAAATATGTTATCTCATGCTTGAACCAAATTAGCCATACAAGCAACACTATACATGCCATTTGCTTAACAATATTAAAATTTGAATTACGATGTCGGTTTAGAGGATGAAATTTGACTACTAAATTTTCCTTTGGACATCGAAATTGAAATGATATGAAATTGAATTTGTTATGGATGCATAAATTCATGATAGATGCACATAATTGTTTCTGGCAGATTGCGTGTCTTGATTTAAATCGGGTGAATGACACGTCTAATGGTCACCAAATTTCATCCTCTAAACCGACATCGTAATTCAAATTGAAAAGATTTTCAAGCATAAAGACTTAAACAATGTGTACCTTAGCAATCCTTGATTAACCTTCTTGGGTCCAATACTTTGCATCCAACAACCATCTTATATGTATTAATAAGTCCACATTTATGCTAAGTCCTTATGAGCCTCAAAACAAATGATCAACCAAGAAATCCAAATGATTGCAAATAACTTGCCATGGGTTTTGGACTATAGTGAATTGTAGTGTTGTTTTCACTAATTTTCACGAGATGTGAATGAACTTTTATGCCATTAATAGCACAAGAAATATGCATGACTAATCAATCAAGTTTGTCTACAATTTGCTTTCTTATCTCAAAAGTCATTTAAATTATACATGACTAGTTACTTGTGAAAAATTGATGTATAATTTGTGAATTGACTGAGAATGACAGAAAGCATCCAGTGACAAGAACAAGGGTATTATACAAATGAATAAGGTTTGTAGTAATTATGTGACAATTCTCATTTGTATTTTTATCTATTCTTATATGAGAATTTTGGTTGGTCATGTGATTATACATATGTTTACAAAGAAGTGATGAACATATGAAGGCATGAGGTATGTAATCCATTCAAAGTATGTGGCTTAATTGATAAGCATGAATTTTCAAACATGTATTATTGTTTTGTGGTTTTTCCCTATGCCTAAAGAATTTAAACAGTGCTTTGATTAGTAATTTTTTTTTATGTCATAAGGGGAGAAGAAAAGAAACTTTTCAAGGCTAATGTAGGGCATATACTGGAAATGTTTTCTATGGAAGAAAATAATTTTGGTAGTTCCTTTATATAATTGGTATTTACAAGGCTAATGCACGATTTTGATGCTAATGTTTTAGGAGCCTTGTACTACGGAAAGAAAGGTACAAAAGAAAAGGAACCCGTTTGACTTAAGAAAACATTTGAGCAATTTAGTTTTTAAATTAAAGGAATGTATTGTTCTTTTGCATTACATAAAGTATTTCTATTTCAAGCAATTGACTCCGTAATGATAAGTATTGACATTCTTGTGGTGGAATAAAACTTGTTCTATATGTGATTAATCTCTTTCAAGTATGCTGTCAGGTTTCTTGAGATTAATTTAATGTCAAAGGGAGTCATGAAGGAATTAGTGCCATTTGTTGGCAGGACTCGACGCTTGAATTAGGTTATCATAATTTTGTCACTTACAGTTAATTAATCCATGTGACTTTTGCATTGTTTCAGGACGGAGTTGATAAATGTCTTTTCAACTAAAGGAAGCCGCAACGGCTCAGTTGATGATGAGACAATATACTTATAAGGCAATATACTCTAATACCATGAAGAAGTTGAGGTTCGACCATAAAACCAATTAGCTATATGAGAAGTAGCCCAACACTTATAAGCCTATGTAAGGCTCCTTTCATCAACGAGATTCGTCGTAAAGATGTACTTAGTTAAGGGTAGTTTTTTAAATGTAGTCCAGGGTGGTTTCTATATAACTCAATGTATCTCTCACTCGTCAATATCATGCAATGAAAAGCCAAATTGAATTCTCTTCTTCCTAGCTTTCCCTCTCATATCTTTCTTCCTCTCTACTTCATTTCTTTCAACTCCTGTGTTAACAGGATAGAAGGTGAAAATATCAGAGAAACCTTTCTGCACAAACCTTCGAACCAAATATCCTCTCCTGTATCTATCTCCTTCTAAAATGAGTTTTAATAATTGGAGAATCCTTTTTGCTACAGTATTTTTTGTACCAATACTGATCTGCGATGCAAGTTCTTTTCAAGCATTTGAAGAGTGGACCGCAGTGCACGGCCGTGTCTACTCCAGCGCTGAAGAACGAGAGCTGCGCCTCGCGATATTCAAAAACAACTTTGAATTTGTGGAGAAATTTAACAAGAATGGGAAAGGTTTTACCGTCGGCCTCAATCATTTTGCCGACTTGACTACTGAAGAGATCACCAACGGGTACTGCTGCAGATTAGTGCAGTCTGATTCGACCACTAACATGACAATCTCAGACAATGTTGTTGCTGTCGGAAACATTGACAACAGTACATGCAGCTGTTGGAGTAAATCAACCTTAAGTGGTCTACTACATGTAATAGGAATGTAATATTGGAGAATAATGTTAATTGTGATTTAATCTCTTAAAGATATTAATTCTATATAAGGTGTCTTATATTGGAAATAGGATTGATGGAATCCTTAATAATATATGATTATGATATTTTACTTGAGAGCCAAGAAAGGAGAGTTTTAGTTTTCCCTTATGGACGGAATCTAAGACTTTTTGGCTAGTATATAAACACCGGTCCCTGCTAACCCTAGACACGACAACTAAGGCTTCCCATAGAGCATTGTCATAAAGCTAGGAGTTTACAGAAGAGTTGGTGTTTTCTGTTTGTCACGGCAAACATAAAGTATTGGAGTTTTATCGATCACGTCTTGCTTGCATGGCTGTTGCATCTTCGATAACTACCATTGGAATCAGGTCAGTCACTCATTCGTTTGTGTTTTAATTGTATAACCTTATAAGGCTAACAGCAGCAGCATCGATTGGGTTGAGTATGGGGGAGTCACCCCAGTGAGGGATCAGACAGAAGAATGTGGTACGTATACGTAACCATATTTAGCATGCATATTGTGCTGTTCTTTTTTTTTTTTTTTCCACATACTTAACCGCATTTGGAATTGAACAAAAGAAATTAAGGAACTGAAGAAACCAAATTATATTCTCATGTTATTCATCACTGAAGAAACTCTCATCTTTTGGCATCTATTTCTGTGGTTGAGCAGCAGAATAAGAGTGTTAAAGTTGGGGTTAAGTGTGTGTTAAATAGATGTACAGAAACTTTAAAGTCAATTTTGTGATCATTATTTAAATGCTAAAATTAAGTTTCGAATGTTGATGGCAGCATGTTGTTGGGCGTTTGCCGCAGTTACCGGAATAGAAGGAATTTATGGAATAAAAAGGGGGAAGGACAAGGTGGTGCCGGTGTCCCCGCAGCAGCTTGTCGACTGTGACGAGTTTAGTGATGGCTGCAAGGGTGGCCTCGAGGCTAATGCATATGACTATGTCTCCAAGAGAGGGATCGTGAGTGAGGCCAGTTATCCTTACAAGGCAAAGAAAGGTGAATGCAACCGAGAGATATTAGAAAGTCTACCCGTTGTCACCCGGATCAATCGATATCACCATGTGTTGCCGAGAGACGAGGAGACCCTGACAAGGGCTGTGTGTCGACAGCCAGTGACCGTCGGAATTGATTCCAGAAGCGCAGCTTTTTATTATTACAAAGGTGGGATTTTTAGAGACGAATGTGGCACTGATTTGATACACAGTGTCACCATAGTCGGTATCGGGAGGGACGAGTCTGGCACCGAATACTGGAAAATCAAGAATTCCTGGGGCAAGGAATGGGGCGAGGGAGGCTACATGAAACTTCTCAAAGATGGTAGCCCGAATGGACACTGTGGCATTACCATGGATGCTACCTATCCAGTGATCGATTGAGTAACAGAACATTAATCATTATATGTAAGTCTATATATATATACACATACACACAAACATAAGGAGACTGTGTTCGAGGATATATGTGTGGTTAAAGATCTGTTAGTTTTATTAATTACATGGTTATTTTATAATATGCAAAGCCATTACAGTTTACATGCATAGAAGATTATTATTGCACGTTTTGCCGATTTATTGCCACCCAAAAAATTCATCTATTTCAATATATCTTCACCCAACTTTTAAAAAAAAAACTTATATAAACCTATAAGTGTACCCACAACTTTCCAAATATAACCTAAGGATTTTTCCAAGTTTTGCCCACACAACCAAACTCCAAACACACCAACCTAAGAACTTTTCAATGGTTCAGGAGCACAATTTTCCAGTACAGATTGCCTGAGGTAATGATCCCACTAAACTTATAGAGCTATGTAGTATGTGTGTTAAAATTTTAAACACTATACGTGTGACTAACGAAAATTTCCAAACTAATATAGCTCAAGATGCTTCATGTGTCAGACAATCAATTTAGTACTTGTAATTGACCGAAAATCATCTTCTTCTTTTTTTCTTTTCGAAAAGGATGTCCAATATCGTGGAACTGGGATCATTGATTGTGTTAAAATATCGCACCTCAACAACGTTTCTAAGAAAAAAGAAGAATTTAAATATTCTAAACTCCACTCCTTGTGATAAAACTCTACACAATATTCTTTGGTTTCCACCCGAAAGCTTTTATTTTTCTTCGGAGGCTACCCTATTAATCCAATTTTTTTAGTTCTCAGGGATTACCTCCCGAAAGCTCTTTGGTTCATTCTTCCCTACGCATTTGATGGTTACTTCCCGAATCCTTCTGTTTATGTTTGCTGGCCGGTTATCGTCTGAATATATCTGTTACTTCCGGTAGTGGACCGAAATGATCTCTTTTGTTCTTTAGATCCTCGTTCGCCGAACATGTCGTGCTTTTGATGAAAATGAGTTATTAGAATGCCATTGCCATTGAACAATCAATGCACTAATATAAATGATCGATCAAGCATATTTTATTACCTTGTTTCTTGACCGAACTCCTATATATCTAACCCCACCAAACCAAAATACAAAATCCAAACCAAAACGGAATTGCATTTAATCAGTTGATATCGACCTAAAGGGTTAAGTTGACTGTTTTCAGCAAAACCATGCAAATTGGTTGTCTATTGTATATATACATATATATCAAGAAATGCGTGTTTGTTTTGTATTATTGTACGGATAAATTGATTTGGAGTTAATTATACTCTGATTCATGTCCTCTAATCCATGAACTACTTTTGTTTCGTTCATTTACTCAGCCATGTGACTTGATATTTTTTATCATTCTATAACTCTACAAACAACTCTAATCCTTAATTTAGGTCGACATCATCTTAAAAATGAATTGATAATAACAAAGGAAATAGGTCGTTGAAAACCCTCCACATGCGAAACTCCACCTCTCAATGTATCTGCAACAATATTTTATCTGAAGGCATCTTGGTTCCAGAACATCCTGATGAACACAGAACAACAGTACCCTACTATAGTCTCCAGACCTATTTGGACTCAAATCCCTTAATTTACCCAATTATCCAACCTCCACGCGAAAAGTTTGTTTCAGAAACTGCATTTGTTTCAGAATAAATTTTTAACAGTTGAGATTTCATATCTAACGTTTCAAACTTAGTTTTTAAGAAACATACTGTAATCATTTTTTTATATTAATTATATTTAGGAGAGAGGGGAGAGCTAGAACTATTACAATAATTTAGAGGATGGGTTTCGAACTAAGGACGCATGGGTGAAAACTCAATACCCTACCCGTTAGGACATTTAATCACATGCAACATATGTAATCATATATTTCCAACAATCTTTGGCATAATTTTGTTATTAATACTTTTTATTTGATACAATTTTCATGAACAATTGAATACAACTATACAAGCAAGTTCATCGACTAACAAAAGTCATATTTGTCTAGTTATAGCTTGATTTGATATCATAAAAATTACATGTATAAATAGGAAGCCAAACATTCTAGAAAGAGTCAAAAGCACTTTTCAATATTTTACTAAGCATTAAAATCACTTTTTATTGTGTAAACAATTTTTTTTCACCAAACAACAAACTGTTTCTTTGTAACACAAGTGTTATTAACAAAAAAATTACAAAATAAAAGCATTTTATAAAGAAGAATTTTCAAACGAATCCTTCTACAGAGTAAGAAATTTAGCTCAACTCTTAAATTACTACTCTACCAGGATCGATACCAAAACTAAACCCCTTGGTCTACAGTGTTAACCAAGTATCTCAGGTTCTATGAATGTAGAGAAAGAGAGAAAGAAAATTGTAGACAGAAAAATAGGAGGGAGAATATGATTGAATTGATATCTTGTTTAATAAGGAAGCTATTACAAGATAGCATATTTATAGTCATAGTTAACCGACTCTTTTAACAAATATAACATACAAGCTAATCTGTTTATATGTGGCATCATCTTAGCCTTACAATCTTATACTTTTAACATCCCCCTCAATCTCATCCTTGGAGCTGCAAAGCATTAGATTGTTACAATGAACCTTAAACAAAGGAGCACTCAATCCTTTTGTGAGAATATCAACAAATTGTTCTTGAGATGAAACAAACTGAACAAGTAATTTCTTCTTGGCAAGCCTCTCTCGAACAAAGTGAACATCTATCTCAATATGCTTAGTTCGCTGATGTTGAACTGGATTGAAGGATAAGGCAATTGCTGAAAGATTATCACAAAACAGCACAGGGGAAGAACTAATGGAAACCTGCAAAAATGCCAGAATTTGTTGTATCTAGTTTAATTCAGCAGCTGTTGAAGACATTGCCCGATATTCAGCTTCAGTAGATAATCGAGAAACAGTTTGTTGTTTCTTAGATGACCAAGAGATGGGATTGGTACCTAAGAAAACAACTAAACCGGTTGTAGACCTTTTATCATTAGGATCTCCAGCCCAGTCAACATCACTAAAAGCTTTTAGATTCAAATCACCCTTGGAATATGTTAACCCTAGATGCATAGTCCCTTTTAAGTATCTTAAGTTCCTCTTCACAGCTGTAAAATGAGAATTCATTGGTTCTTGCATAAACTGGCACACCTGATGAACAGAAAAGGCAATATCAGGCCTAGTGAATGTAAGGTACTGATGAGCCTCTACTATACTCTTATACATGGTTGGATTGTTATAGGGTTGACCATCATCCTTCAAAAGCCAATTATAAGGAAGACATGGAGTATCACAAGCTTTAGAGTCAATCATTTATGTTTTATGCAGCAGATCTTGTATGTATTTAGTTTGGGATAAGAACAGACCATTTGTATGTTTAGTAATTTGAATCCCCAGAAAAAAAATGTAAAGGCCCCAAATCCTTGATATCAAACTTAGTTGTTAGAGAGTGAATGACCCGTGTAATTGCTGCAGAACTGCTCTCTGTGATGATTATATCATCAACATACAACAATAAAATCACAACAGTTTCACCAGCTTGCTTAAAAAAGAGAGAAAAATCAGAATAGGTATTTTGAAACCCCATAGAAGGTTGAAATGCAATGAACCTTTCATTCCAAGCCCGATGGGCTTGTTTCAACCCATAGAGGGACTTGTGTAACTTACAAGCTAGATCAGGATTATTAGCATCTACAAACCCTGGAGGTTGAGCCATATATACTTCTTCTTGAAGAATGCCATGCAAAAAAGCGTTTTTGACATCAAGTTGTCTAAGTGGCCAATCAAATTGAGTTGCCAATGCCAACATTAACCTGACAGTAGTTGGCTTCACCACAGGACTGAAGGTTTCTCCATAGTCTAAACCAGGTTCTTGGCTAAACCCTTTTGCTACCAATCGAGCTTTATGCCGAGCCATAGATCCATCAAAGTTCTTTTTGATCTTGAATACCCATTTGCAGCCCACTAAGTTCTTTTGTGGTGGTAAAGAAACCAAACTCTATGTCCCTTGTTTATACAATGTATCCAGTTTCTCTTTCATAGCATTTAACCAAACTGGAACCTTGAGTGCGGACTTGTAACTAACAGGTTCCACCAAAGAAAGATCAACATTTGTAGATTCATCAAATGTTGTCAAAAGTGCCTTCTTTTTAACAATTCCACTTTTACTCCTTGTTTGCATAAGATGTAAATTTAGTGGAGGTATTGTCAACACAACTTGAAGACTATCAGGACTAAAATCAAGTTCCACAGGGATCTTAGGATAGGAATTTGTAGCTGCAGTATTGGACTGAGATATAGGATTTTGGGTTACTGTTTGTGAGAGTACTGATGGAGTTTGAGTGGAAACAGGATGTTGTAATGGTGAGCAACAGGACTATGAGATGATAATCTTTGTGACACAGGTATAGAAGATGTATGTGATGATGAATGAGATGGGAATGTAACTAATTCATTAAGACTATTAGTGACAGGTAATGGATATGTAAAAGTAGCTGCTTTAGAGGACTGTGTATGTGCCTTATATGAAGAAGTAGTTGCTGTCAATAAGGCTGAGTAAGGAAACTCTTGTTCATCAAAGATCACATGTCTAGAAATGTAGAACTTTTGACTTAACACCTTATACCAGATATACCCTTTATATTTGGAAGCATACCCAAGAAAAACACATTTGGTTGTTTTTTGTTGCAATTTGGTATTGTTGTAAGGCTTAAGAAGAGGATAACAGGTACACCCAAAAACCCTTAAATGTGAAATTAAAGGTAACTCCCCAAACAAAAGCTCAAAAGGTGACTTATTCTGCAAAATTGCAGAGGGCATCCTAGTTATGAGATAATTGGCAGTTTGACAACCAAATGACCAAAATTGGGATGGCAACTAAGCATTTTGAAGAAGGGTAATTGTGGTTTCTACCAAGTGTCTATGTTTCCTCTTTGCTAACCCGTTTTTCTCAAGGGTATAAGGACAAGATATTTGTTGGGAAATTCCATTTTTCTTAAGAAACCTTTGAAACCTGTTACTAAGGTATTCCCCACCCCCATCACTTTGCAACATTTGAAGTGAAACTGAGA